GGGGGGGGGGGGTGTATCTGGGGATTCAGGCTCGAATATCTAATAATAATAATAGTCAGAAGAGGAAAAGTCAAATCAGGGTTTGCGTTGTTTTCTCCAGTTTGAATTATTTATTTTGTTGTTTTTTTTGCTGTTTTTTTTGTTTAGTTTTTTTCTACCAAAGCAAAGAGGACTTTACCACTTCTACAAGGGGGGGGGGCATGCTGTATCTGAGGATTCAGGCACGAATATCTTAGCCAATAATAGTCACACGAGAAGGAAAAAGAGGAAAAATCAAATCAGGGTTTGCGTTGTTTTCTCCAGGTTTTCTTAGTTTTTTTTGTGTTTCTTTTGCTTTTTTTTTACCAAAGTGAAGGGGGACTTTACCACTTCCACGAGAGGGGGGGAAGGAAAAAGAGGAAAAGTCAAATCAGGGGTTGCATAGTTTTTTCCAGTTTTAAGTTGTTGTTTTTTTTCCTTTTCTTTTCTTTTTTGTTTTTCTTTTGTTTTACCAAAGCGAAGAGGACTTTACCACTTCTACGAGGGGGGGGGGCAGGCTGTATCTGAGGATTCAGGCAGGAATATCATATAATAATAATGAATGAATCTTTATTGTCATTGTCAAAAGAACAACGGAATTTAAAAAGTGCCATCAATCAGTGCATGTGCTTACAATTTTTTTTTTTAAATCACTGTCCCACAATTTACACACAATAAAAGAAATAGATAACAGATAACTGATAAAAAAAAACAACTAATAAATAAGAATAGCACTTTCTCAGTCACACGAGAAGGAATTGAACTGAATTGTTTTGTCCAGTTTGAAGGCTTTTTAAAAATATATTTATTAACCAAAGCAAAGGGGACTTTACCACTAAATTGAAAGATTTAGACTAGATTTAAACTGTGTAAAAACTGGGAAAAACACAAATACCACAGACATATTTTTGATTTTTGAATCATTTTGTTGGGAAGTACTTACAATATTGAATATTGACTGTGGCGTAACTATTCTAGTCCTATTCTAATCCTCAAACAGGCGTAATAATGTGATAAACCCACTCCATAAAAGAGTTTTCTGCTTTCTGTTGTCTCGTTGTGTAAAAAAAGGGAGGAGAACTGGCACAAATGGGATGTCTGGGTTGCTCCTCTGCTGTTAATGTGTGTCTGCCATCAAAATAAACACTCAGATCACCTTTTAGACGGAGAAAAAAGAGGTTTGAATCCAGCTTGATGATTCACTGACAGGCGTTACGGGATCCAGGCTGTTTCTGGTGATAGCTAACAGGAAATGACTTTTCTCTGATTATACGCTGTTGGGAAGCTGTTAAAATCCTTCTAAGGGGGGCGGCTTTCCGAGCAGCCTTGGTTGGATATAAAACTCCTCACACATCCAAGTCGGCCATTTTGATTAGGTCATGTGACTAGCAGCTTTCTCAGGTGGAAACGAAACTTTACTGTCTATACGAAATCGAAGGAAAAACAATGTCCTAAACCTAACCCTGACCCTAACCCTAACCCTAACCCTGACCCTAACCCTAACCCTGACCCTAACCCTCCACCTTCCAGGCTTTAGTCACCTCCTCTGCCTCTAGATTAACTCATTGGCTGCCAAAGACGTCTATAGACGTCTTTTATGTTTTTCAACGAGAGTGGCTGGGGGACGATCTGCTAAAGCTTGTCCGTAAATATCAGGCTTCTAGACAGAGTATGTAGTAACGAATTTACCCTCTAGAGGGCAGTGCCACTTTTGATGGGAGATGAGCGTAGACTGTAGGCAAATAAGAAAAAGGTAACGGTTCTATGAGAGAACATGTCGCCGGTGAGACGCAAGTCCAGGAAGAACGGAATAAGGTAGAAACACATTTTTTTTCCTGATGAAAGAAGAGAGTCTACTCTTTCTTTTGGTGTGTTCGGTGTTTACATAGTCATAGCACAAACTATTCTGTGGCTCTTGAAAAATCAGTCAAAATGCTAAAAAAACTGGCAGTATGGGACTCTGTTCTGAAAATGGCTGGCAGTCAATGAGTTAAAGTCACTCCTCTACCTCCAGGCTTTAGTCACCTCCTCTCCATCTAGATTAAAGTCACTCCTCTACCTCCAGGCTTTAGTCACCTACTTTACCTCTAGATTAAAGTCACTCCTCTACATCCAGGCTTTAGTCACCTCCTCTGCCTCTAGATTAAAGTCACCTCCTCTACCTCCAGTCACCTCCTCTGCCTCCAGGCTTTAGTCACCTCCTCT